ACCCTATCTGCTAAGGGCAGCACAAGGGTCCTCTTGTGCTGTCACAATCTTGGCAACATTATGTCCCAATGTTGGACAGAAAAAGGATGGAAAGGAAGGAAGTAGTATCCTTATTTTACAAACAGGGAAACTGAGGCATGGAGCAGCCATATGGCTGCTTGTCATCGGGGTCTACCCCTGCTTGGTGGCACTGGGACAAGCAGATGTGGCTGGTGGAGTGAGCATAGAAAGGAACCACCACCTGCTCAAGAGATGCAAAGGAAATTGCCCAACCTGGGAGGGCCAGGGCATGACACACAACACAGCTCCCGGCCAGCCTGAATACCAGAGTTATCCAGGAAGGTGACCTCATCCCTGCTCCCAGTGCCCAGAATCATGACCCACACAGCCACAGGAGCCAAGGGCTGGCTGGGGCTACCAGACATCGGGGGTAGAGGGTTCACACCCTGGTCACCTCCTGGCAAGGAAAAACCCTTGCCCTGGCCCAACCTGACAATTCTGAGCAAGAGCCTGAATGTGGTGTGAGGTCATTTTATCCCTTTCTGCAGCTCTGATTTGATCTTTCTGGTGGTTCCCAGTCCCGTGCCAGCCTGGAGAAAACAGCCCACAAACCACAAGACTCCTTGGTGTGCACAGAGACAGCCTTGGGCTCGTGGGTTTGAGATGGGGAGGAAGGAGAAATATACCCAGGGGTGATGCAGAACAAGCCTTGCTTGGGGTGAAGACCCCCCGCCCCAAGATCCATAAACCACCTTGTCCATTAGTATTCCACACGGACATCCACTTTCCACGCAAAAAAGGCTCCTTCCCATCTCTGTCCGTCCCTTATCTTCTGGCCGGTCCCTGCAGCAATGGTCTGTATCCCAAAAACCTGCTGTGGGGTGAGAGACAACCCATATCATTGCATTTTCCATCCTCTGGAGAAGGGGCAGATGGCTTCACTCCCAGATTTCATCTCCTCTACCAGTGTCCTGGCAGGTGGAAGCTGGCTGCTGCCAGCACTGGGCGTATGCCCAGATCCAGCCAGAGAGTCCTGGTTCCCCAGGAGCCACACCTCACCTTGGCTGAGGCTCCCAACACCCTCAGGGGACCCTGGCTCCTGGTTGGGGCCTGTAGTGGTTCCTGACGTGCAAAGAGCATGGGGACATGCTCCCACTTCTTCGGGTTGAGCAAGTGGGGACAAGCTCAGCTCGTGGGAGTCTCCATGGAGAAACTCCTTTCCCAAGGAAACCAGACTGTGGCCACCACCATACACGCTGCCAGGAGATCTTGGTGTGGGCTTTGCATCCACCAACCATGAATGTGACTCTGTCTGCAAGAAGGGAAGCAGGGAAGAGGCTCGTGAGGTGTTTCAGTCAATCCCATCACTGCTCAGCGCAGGATAGGAGAGAGCAGCTGATGGAGAGAAGATGATGGAGGAGAGAAGGTCCCATTGGGAGGATGAATGCAACAGCCCAAGTCAGTCATGGTGGTGGCAATACCCAGAGCTGATCTTGTAGGAGATCATGATGACTGAGTTCTCTACCTCCTCACCAAGGCAGTTTAAAAACTCATTACACCATTCTCAGCTACCCTTGCAGAAGACCTGGCAGAAAGGGCCACTTTGCAGAGCCCCCTGGGGTGGGTGCCCCTCTAACGACAGCCTGTTTGGAAGGGAGCAGCCCCCCTGGGTTTGCTGGTTCAAAGGTAGATCCAAGTTTGGACACATGCACGTAACCCCTGTTATGAACCATTTTTAATGTGGGTGGCTGTGAGGATCCCTTAGCCCTGGGCCACCACAGGGATTGTAGGCAGAGCAGGAGATGGGAGGAACAGGACTTCTCCAGCCTTGCTCCTGCTCCTGTCATGGTCCCATGTGAGTCAACACCACTGGGCAGAGAGACCAAACAGGTTCAGGGCATCTCCAGCCCCATTGGGCTGATTCACAAATCGTCTTGGAAGAGCAGTGCTGCCCCAGCCAGGCTGCTGCACCAACCATCTCAGAACCACACCAAACATCTCGTGCTGTGCTGGTGCAAGAGCCACCACAGCCCATGGTGCCAGCAGGACACCCAAAGGCTTCCATTTCATCCCTCCTAAAAAGGAAACCCACTGTAGACGGACAAGGATGGGTTTGGATGCCTGAGCGATGGGCAGAGAAGGCGGTGTGTGTGATGGAAGAGTTGTCTCCAGGATGGCTACAAGTTGGAGACAAAGGGTGAACATAAGCACAGAAGAGGAGCATGTTGGTGCCTCCCCAGATACTCACCCAAACTCCCACTTTCTGGGACCATGGGCCCCCTGAATCAAAGGTAAGTCATTTATGGGAGGCAAGCCAGCCTGGTTAGGTTGGGTTGCCTTGGGTTGGGTGACCTCTGCAGACCCCCTTCCATCCAACACGCATAAGCAGGCATCACAGATTGCATTAAGAAACTTGCTCCTCCAATTTTTGAGGCCAAGCAGGAGGACACAGCTTGGGGGACACTGCTTTGGCAGGTGTGCATGACTCAACCCTGAGGAGCACAGGGACACAGCTTCATTTAATATCTGGCAAGAGCAGGCTGTGGTGTTGGTCCATGGGCCACAAGCAGGACTAAACTTTTCGCTAGCAATACCTGAAGGCCACCACTCAACATCTACCTACAAGACTACCCATGATGCAGCATCCCAAATTTGACCCACACTCCATTTCTGAGGCCTCATTGCTTTGATTTGCACTTGCACTGAGGGCCCTTCATGTGGCCCTCACACTGTGGAGCATCTTAAATGGTGCATCAGCACAAACTGCGGAAGACAGCTTCAAATTAGGGTCTGGAGAACAAGTCTTATGAGGAGCGGCTGAGGGAACTGGGGTTGTTGAGCCTGGCGGAAAGGGGGCTGAGGGGAGACCTTCTGGCTCTGTTCAAGTCCCTTGGAGGAGGGTGGAGAGAGGTGGGGGTGGGTGTGTTCAACCAAGGAACAAGTGACAGGACAAGAGGAAATGGCCTCAAATTGCACCAGGGGAGGTTTAGATTGGATGTGAGGAAGAATTTCTTCACTGAAATGGTTCTCAAGCATTGGAAGAAGCTGCCTAGGGAGGTGGTGGAGTCACCATCCCTAGATGTATTCAAAAGACGTGTAGATGTGGCATTTAGGGACATGGTTTAGTGGGCATCGTGGCGTTTGGCTGATAGTTGGACTTGATGATCTTAAAGGTCTTTTCCAACCTAAATGATTGTGTGATTCTATGAAATGTAAATAAAAACCATGCTCCAGGCACTGATACTTGCTCCATAAATAGGCCACATCCTTTGTGTTCATCAACACATCGAAGGCAAAGCTTTGGCTTCACCGTAACATCTACATAGGACCTGGCATTAAAAGGTCACGAGATGACAAAAAGAGGATCAAGGCCATCAAAGTGACTTGCTGCCTCTGAGACACACCATGAAAAGTGAAGTTACATGCATGTTGTGACTTGAGTCGGTTTGTTAGAAAGCAATTCACAATTTGTAAAGATAACCAGAGATCTTTTTTATTAAAAAAAAAAAATAAAAATAAAAAAAATAGAAATAAAAAAAAATGGAAGTAGAAAAGTTTGGCTGAAAATACCAATGACAAAAAAAATAATTAAAAAAAAAATAGCACTTGCACAGGAAATGTTTCTGTTCTGAAAACTGTCAACAGCTACAGCAATTTCAATCGTAAAACAATCACCGTATAAAAACATATTTATTTAAATTAAATATTTTATGCAAACTCATATCTACACTCATTCAAAATGTATAGAGTCACACACTCACCAAAAAAAAAAAAAAAATAGATGGAATGTATTAGCTTAAAAACTTGTGAAGTTGTGGAGGGTTTGGGTTGTTTTTTTTTAAAGTATTATTTGCCATTATTATTAATACGCGTTCAGGATTGAAACCAGAAGATCATAGTCACGCTACTAACTAATCATTACCAAGTGCCATACAGTAAACACTAAGATTAATCATGTCGTATAACTGATTTAAAATAAAGCTTCATCTTTATGAAAAGGAAGAGAATTCGAGCAATACAAAACCCGAGGGGAGGAATAATGGAAGGAATAAATCAATGTACAGCTTTATTACAAGCAATAATACGCCGGAGTTAGAAGAGGCATTGGGCACTGCGGCTCGAAACGTGAAGCCTTCACCTTCAAAGGGTGTTTGGTAAAAAAAAACCTGTGTCTGCTACAACATCACCTCTTTGCCCGAGTGCTCGTCCCAGGATGTACATCCCCGGGGCCAGCCTGGTAGCATCCCTGGTGTCCCATCCCCTCTGGGGTCTCCTGAGGGATGAAAAGAAGCTGTGGATGCTCCTCCCTGGAAGTGTTGAAGGCCAGGCTGGATGAGGCTTTGAGCAACCTGGTCTAGTGGAAGGTGTCCCTGCTGATGGCAGGGGGGTTGGACTAGATGATCTTTAAAGGTCCCTTCCAACCCAGACCATTCTAAAATTCTATGAACTCCCCAACTCATGGTTTGGGGACAGAGGGATGGTGGGGTTCAACTCCCGCTGGTGTGGTCAGGCAGGTCAGGGTGGCTGCTGAGAGAGGGGCAAATCATACTCATGGCCCACATGCCCCTTTACCAAAACCTTCCCTTTTCCTCCCATCCCTGCCTTTTCCCCTTACAGGGGATTTTGCCCCTACCAGGACTTCACACCTTCCATTTGTGGGATGCCACCACTCTCCCAACTCCAAAGCAGAGCTGGGTGTGCCCCAAAATGGGGGGGCATCCTTCCCACCATCCCAGAAGCATCTCTACTTTGGAAGTGGGACTTGGCCAAAAGGCTTTGGCATTGGAAAATCCCTGTTGGGAGCAGGGCACCCAAGGCATCGCACCGGTGGTAAGCCAACAACTGAAATCCTTTACCTACTCCACCGAGGAGACTCCACAGACCTCATGGTTCAGACTCGGTCACCCTGATGAGCGGCGAGCGATGTCCCTGAGGAGCAACTCCTCGTAATACTGTGTTGGGTCCTTCCTCGTCTGGTCCAGGCAGCCCTGACCAGAGGTCTAGGAGACACTGTAGTTATTGTAGTAGGTGGCCGTGGCATCGGCGAGGACAGAGATGAGGCTGGTCTCGGAGGCGTGGGAGCTGCTAGACGGTGGGATGTGTCCGTTGACCAAGACCCCGCCATGATGGTCACTATGGCCAGGATTGTTGAGATACTGGTCAAACTCATTACGGTCCATCTCCCCTAGGAGCTCAGCTTGGCTCAGCTGGTCCAAGGTGTCAAAACCATGGTGGTCAGGTGGTGGGGAGAGCTGGCCCAGGTGGGCATGGAGGCTGGGGGGGTGCAGGGAGGGGAAGGCGGGCGTGTAGTAGCTGGGAGGAGGAGGAGGAGGAAGGGGAGGACAGCTGGAGGCCGGGGGGATCATGCAGGTGGCTGGCTGTGGCATGGGGCTGAGAGGGGGGTGGTTGCATGGGAGGGAGCTGCCCGTGTACTCCGGGGAGTAGGTGGCTCCGGTGAGGTGGGAGCAGTGATGCTCATCGGGGCACGGCGAGGAGAAGAAGCTCTGCTCGGGGTCTATGGCGTCCAGTGGAGACATCTCTGGTGGGGTGGGCAGCCCGTAGGGGTAGGTGTCCACGCTGGTGCTACTGCTGCTGCCAGGGGCCTCCCGATATCCCCGGCTGGCCGGCAGTCCCGGGCGAGGGGGGTACTCACCCTGCCCCTCTTTGTCCCCCCCGACCCGGCTGCAGGTCCTCTTCTCCGGCACCACATTTTGGTCCCGTGTCAGGCTGCCCAGTAAAAACCCAGGGTCCACCCGCTTGCAGATCCGCTTGACCTGCTTCTTCCGCCGGGGTCGGTATTTGTAGTTGGGATAATCTTGCATGTGCTTCACCCGCAGCCGCTCAGCCTCCTCCACGTAAGGACGCTTCTGCGAGAGGCTCAGAGCCTTCCAGGACTTGCCTGAAATGGAAAAAGAAAGTCCTCTGAGTGCCTGCAGAGGCTGCATTGGTGGGAGGGAAAGGGGGCTTCCTCCCAAAGCTTGTAGGCACCCAACCCAAGGGCAAGGTAGGGTCTCCCAATATCTGAGCCAGCACATGTAGAGGACACAGCCAGCAAACCCTACAGGAAGATGAGGCGGCAGCAAGAGAGTGAAAAAGCCACCATAGGTCCACCAACTCACCCATCCCAAGTCCTCAAACAGGGTGGGTTCAGAGTTAGCTGAGCCCCACTGCAAATCATAGAAACCATAGAATGGTTTGGGTTGGAAGGGACATTTAAAGGTCATCTAGTCCAACCCCCCTGCCAGCAGCAGGGACACCTTCCACTAGACCACGTTGCTCAAAGCCTCATCCAGCCTTGCCTTAAATGTTTCCAGGGTTGGGGCTTCTATCACCTCTCTGGGCAACTTGTTCCAGTGCAACCTGTTGTAGGGAACCTGCTTTGGCAGGGGAGTTGGACTAGATGATCTCCTGAGATCTTCCAACTCCCATCATTCTGGGATGGAACACTTCTCTGGGATGGAAAGCCTGGGTCCTGAGCAGGGACAGTCAAGGCCATGCCTGGTTGAGCAGGGGGGTCAGGACATGGTGTCCCTGGATGTGTCCCAGACCGTTCCCTGCTGGGACTCACACTGGAGAGTACAAAGACCTGGGCACCACGACCTCGCTGCTCCCTGGTTGAGATACACAAAATATCCCCAAGAACCAGGACAAGCAAAGCAGTACCAGCGCAGGGGGGTTGTACCCCATGGTGGAGCTACCCCAGGCTCTTCCTCAGGGTAGGAGAAGAAATGAGGATATGGATGGAAGCATTTGACGCCTTCTCATGGCCAAAGAGACAGCAGAAGTAAAGTGAAGAAGCTGAGATGCTGCAGGGCAAAGCGGCGAGGAAAAAACCCAAACCACCAAAGAAAACACCACAAAACTGTCCAGGGAAACACAAACTTTGGGTAAGTTTGGGTAAGAGGTTGGACAGCAAAGCTGTGTTGCAATTTGGGCAGTTTTCTCAAGCTGACTGGGCTGGTTATTTCTGTTTGTATCAAAAATGGGGATTGGGAGAAGGGGGAAATAGTGGATGAGGGGTGGGAAACAAATGGATCTTCCAAATGGGTTGTGATCCCCAAAAAGAAACAGCAGAAACATCACCACCACCCTCCCCATCGCCTGGCTATGCAATATTGGGGTGGACTAGTGAGTTTGGGGTCAAAGTGGGATAACAAAAGCCAGGAAAGTTTGGGGATCCCTCTTTGCATTGCATCCAGGGATCCCTGGCACCTGTAGCCTGGGGGTTTGCACCCCAGCAGGGTTTACACTCAAGGGTTGGCCAGGTGTACACATGGTTGTGTGTCCCCTGGGGTGCAGGACCCCGTCAGGTTTTGCACCCCACAAGGCAGTCTGGTGGATGTTATCCCAGGGTGCTGGACCCCAGCAGGCTTTGCACCCTGCAGCATGGCTGGGTGGGTGCATGGGTACCCACCCCAGGGTTCTGGATCTGGCCAGGGTTTGTACCCCAGGGATAACCAGGTGGGTGCATGGGTGTCTATCCTGGAGTATGGATCCAGACAAAGTTTGCACCCCCAGGGATGGCTGATGGGTGCCCATCTGGTCAGGGTTTGCACCCCAGGAGATGGCCGATGGGTGCACGGGTGCCTACCCCAGAGTACTGGATCTGGACAGGGTTTGCACCCCAGGAGTAGCCGGGTGGGTACATGGGTGCCACCCCAGAGTACTGGATCTGGAGAGGGTTTTCACCCCCAAGAACAGCTGACGGGTGCCTATCCCAGGGTACGGGATCCAGACAGGTTTTTGCACCCCTAGAATTGGGGGTTGGAACTGGATGATCTTTAAGGTCCCTTCCAACCCAAACCATTCTATGATTCTATGAAATGGCTGATGGGTGCATGGGTGCTCATCTGGGCAGGGTTTACACCCCCGGGGTGGCCAAGTGGGTGCATGGGTGCCCACCCTGGGGTACCAGATCTGGTCAGGGTTTGCACTGCTGGGGATGGCTGATGGGTGCCTGTCCCGGGGTACTGAACCTGGAGAGGGTTTGCACCCCTAAGAACGGCTGATGGGTGCTCATCTGGGCAGGGTTTGCACCCTCAAGGATTTTTAGGTGGGTTCATGAGTGTCCACCTCAGAGTACTGAATCCAAACAGGATTTAAACCCCCAGGAATAGTCGATGGGTTTATGGGTGCCCCCAAATCCCCCTCCACACACA